ATATATATATATATAATATATATATATATATGATATAGATCATGTGACACTGAAGACTGGAGTAATGATGCTGAAAAATCAGCTTTGAAATCACAGTAATAAATTACTTTTTAAAAATATATTCAAATAAAAAGCAGTTATTTTAAATAATAAAAATATTTCACAATATTACTGCTTTTGCTGTATTTTGGATCCAATAAATGCAGGCTTGGTGAACAGAAGAGAATTCTTTAAAAAAAAAAACATTAAAAATCTTACCGTTTAAGAACTTTTGACTGGTAGTGTAAGTAATGTACTTTTAACCCAAAACACAACATAGTGTTCGTTGAGAGATTAATATGTGATTTAATACTTTCCTTATTGCCAACCTTTGTGATAGGGATTTTTACAGTTTAATATCAAGAGTTGTAGGACTATTTAAAAAGTCAGTTATTCAAATGGGACATTTTGCTTTTGCCCACTGCTGTATATTGTTACAGGTTATTTATAAAGCACTGAGCATGTGTGCACTATAAATAATCAGTGTTTGAGCTGTCTCGCACAACCATAGCACCAACACATGAATATTCTCCTTTCCATTGCTTATAGAAGTTGACTACCAGTGCCATAAACACGCGGTTTGAATCCTCCCAAATGGTTTTTAGACATTTTATTTGGAGATTGTCTTTTTCATGTGTATGTAACATGAAATATGTGAATACTAAAACTTTTTTTTTTTCTGGCTGTGCAGGGTCCATCTCTTAGACCATAATTTTCAAGGCAACTAACACTGAATATATCTTATACTAAGGTAAGCTGTTACAATTGTTGGCTGTTTTAATATTAATCCATAAAACATTTTAAGTTTTTTACGATACATATGCACAGGAGATACTTTGGAAGAAATCAACCTAAAAACTACTTATACATACAGTGGCCTAAATAACTATTTGGACAATAATGTCACATGAGTCTAAATGCATTAGACACCAAAATATCAGATGAAGGGATGTATGTATGGGAGGGGCTGATTTGCATATATTCATTTTGCAGATACTTTTCATCCACAACAAAGCAATTTATATATAGCGAATTGAACAACACTGTCTTTCTTTTTTTGATTTATGTGAATATGAACTAGGTACAAATGCATCAAATACATGCATTCATTCATAAAGTGAATGATCAGTCAAATGAATATTTTTATTGAAATGTGTTATTGAAACGATGTAGGCTGTCAATTTACTACAGTTGCTGCACAGATGATAAAGTGACTCCTTGAACTGTTGCTGAACCAGATATGCATGTTTGAACCATGCCATCTGGTTTCGTAACCCACATGTGCAATGCACGCGTAATGATTGAATCATTAGTTGATGTAACCCAATCTGCATGTAATGAACCTCTTTTAATTTCATGAATATTGGGCACATTTTCATAACTTAAATGGGACTTTTGTTACACTAAGCAGAGTTTAATGGCACACAAATCTACCGGCCCACTCTGATTATGCAAATAAGCTGTAGCAGGGAAAAAATAAACTTTTTCTGCTCAAACTTACGCCTTTGTATTGGACAAGCTACCTTCGAGAGGTGTGAACTCTGTAGAACAGGGGTTCTCAACTCTGGCCCTCGAGGTCCACTTTCCTGCAGAGTTTAGCTCCAACCTTGATCAAACTCACCTGAACAAACTCATCAGGCTGTTCAGGATCACTAGAGAGCTACAGGCAGGTGAGTTTGATCAAGGTTGGAGCTAAACTCTGCAGGAAAGTGGACCTCGAGGGCCAGAGTTGAGAACCTCTGCTGTAGAAGTTAAAGGCGGCTATTATAGTCAACCATAGAGAGAGATCTGATTAGCCTCAACACCATGGGACTTTGTTTCGCCCAGGAGCCAGCAGATCCATGGGTGCCCACCCAGCTGCAAGTCCTGCAATTTGCAATGTTCTGTCTGGATGATCCGATTTGTTGGTCCAGCGCATCCAATAGATCATGTGTCAAATTCAGCTTTCCAAATTCAAGTTTCTTGCTGTGCTAAAGACTTTGGGTGCTTCTCATACGGAAGGCTGCATCCTAGTGGGGATGCATCCTTCCTAGTCCAGTCCTTCTGAGACTTCAAAGCTAGAGTCCAGCTCAGTATTAAAGGCAGGGTAGGTGATTTGGTTCAAAAACAAAAACATTCTTATTCACATCCTGATAGCAATCAATAAGTTATGTGGTCTACATGTATTTATATTGCCTGTGGAAGGCGTAGGACCATAAAATGTTCGACCAATCAGATTATTCGGTCCGAACATTGCGATATGCTGCGATATCTACCTGCCTGTCAATGTGTGTATTTGCATACCTCTGCGCACCCGGCTCGCGCAGACATGAAACGTCATCAGAGCATTCCATTACGTTATTGCAGACCAGCGAGAATGGAAGGTGTTATCATTGTAATATTATAATATTATGTAATATTAATGTTTTCTCACCGGTGAATGAGACGTGAGGTAATCTGACAGTGTTGCATTTAATCAATGAGACTTGGACACCCATAACCCTGACATCGGTTCACCGGTTATCCTTCCTTGTCCTACCACTTTTGGTACTGTAGATACTATCCACTGCATACCATTAACACCCCACAGCACTTGCTGTTTTGGAGATGCTCTGTCCCAGTCATTTAGCCGTCACTATTTGGCCCTTGTCAGAGTCACTCAGATCTTTTCGCTTGCCCATTTTCTTCTGCTTCCAACAATGAAATTCAAGAACTAATGGTGCACTTGATGCCTAATATATCCCACTCCTTGACAGGTGCCATAGTACCAATATAATCAATGTTATTTACTTCAGCTGCCAGTGATTTTAATGTTGTGGCTGATCAGTGTAAATATACTAGTGCCAGGCAACGATTAATCGTGATTAATCGCATCCAAAATAAGTTTTTGTTTACATGATATACAATATGTGTGTGTACAGTGTAGATTTATTATTTATATACTGTATAAATACACACACATACAGTATATATTTTGTAGACATGCATATTCCGTAAAGCTGCTTTGAAACGATGTATATTGTGAAAAGCAGTATACAAATAAATTTAAATTGAATTGAATTTTAATATTTTAACACATTTGTATTTCATACACTCCAACAATACATCTTGGTTCACAAGCTTATACTTGACCTTGCTTGCTTTTGCCATGGCATGCATTTTACCCGTCTTTGTTGCCTAGTAGATAATCAGTAACTGTGATAAAATAATTTACAACCTCATTCATGATTTTTCTTATTATTATTATTACCACAATCATTATTTGTCTGCTACAGAACTGGATCTCCCACCAGTGCTTCAAGCAAGTACTAATAAATGAATAGCTAACTTGGTACCAATACCCAATCTCTCGAACCCTAAATCACCAAGTTTGTAAGGGAAACGTTTGTATTTTTCAACCTTCTTGTTTTTGTGTCTAAGCAACTGATTGAAATTGGTCCACTATTGACCACGGCTGTTGCAACTGTCCGCCACAAAACAGGCTGCGAATTTCTTTGGGCATGTAAATGGTTTGGATCAGACATTATGGAAGGGATCCCTGTAGAGATGGACCTGTTTGTTAACGATAAGATACTTTTAAACAAAACGGCCGGTTATCACTCTCCTCAAACCCACCAGACTCCATTGACAAATACAGTGATATGTTGTCGTAAATGTATAGTGTAATATATGTCCATATCTCTGGCAGTCGTAGCATCGCAGTGGCACACACACATAGGCTCTTACTGGATAGCTGACATAACCTACCATAACCCTGTTTGGTAACACTACACTCTCACTGAAAGATTATCTCAATAAAATATTACCTTCTCTGTTTATCTGTAGGCATTTTGCTTTTACTACTTTCTGCTTGCTTTCAAATGTTACACCTAAAAAAAAATCACATACCATGTGTTCAACAAAACGTACAAGACTAGACCACACAATGAACATGTGACAAGAGCACACAGCCACTGAAACAAGGTCAAAGGCCTTGTGCTCAAACAAAAACACAACACAAGTGCACATGAAACTGACAAAGAACCCCCACCATACGCTCACAACGAAAGACAAAACATGGGGCATGAGTATCCAGATTCCAACACTGAACCGAACCCAAGCCCCAAACACACAACACGCCACATGTAAATTGTAATTATACATACCTCCATCCCTGCTTTTTTGTTTAATCTGTTACATTAGTAAATTAAATCATTTGCTATGGTTACCCTAATTTGTTTATACTAATGAACTATTCACCCCCTCTCTTGTTTAACTCTAAAATAATATTCAACTTTTTTATTTGGCTGTAACTTGTGACTTTTCCCTCTTTAAAATTTGTAACATGACTTTTCCCTCTTTAAGATTATGATTTGGAAAACGATAATTATTTCAAGGTAATCTCATTTCTAAATTGGACTAATTTTTGGGCAGTCGAGTCAAAAGTGAACTGTTGGAGTTTAAGGATTCTTGCAGTAAAAAATAAGAAAAGCGAATTCATTTAGTGTGCAATAACGACTGCAGGCTTGTATTCTTATTCTTGACCTTGTTTCGATATAAAGTAAAGGGAGTTTACTTTATTAAATTAAATTCGAACACTCCTATCTGAGGGAAGAAGTGATCATACTAGAGAAGTTGACTTTCACTGGTGTAATTAAATGTTGTTAAATATATAAAACATTTTACATGTAAATCATGGTATATTCTTAATCTTGGACCTCATTGTTGTTAGTCGGTTTCACAAAACACTGAATGACCAATAATGTCTCAAGCACTACCAGCAGCCCATAATTTTCCAAATTCTGTTTAACATGAAAAATATGCATTTTCATGTTTGCAACAACATTTTAATTCAAATTTTTGCAAGTGCTAATGTTTAAAAAAAATGGTTGCCACTTTCTCAATGTTAAACTTTCAAATTTTATGCCATTTTAATGTATCTTCCTAAAAATGTTCCCTTGTTCCTGTACTTTTGTGATTATATTTAATAAAGTTTTTAAAAAAAAAGTCAAAAGAGTCCAACATTACAGAAGACCTTACCTAAATCCAACAGTTATGGACTTGCTAGAGATGGGAGAATTTACATGAAAGTGAGTATGTTAACATGGTTGTTCTGGACGTCCCAAGTTTTGTGGTCCTGGAGGTCCCAAGTCCGGTGGTCCCAAAGGTTCTTCCCTTTCATCTGATTGATGTATCCACCTTTGTGTCCTGCTCTGCCGGCTCCCCTGTGGTGGTCTTTGGCTCGGCTCGACTTGACTGTGTTCAAGACCGTTTTCAAAAGTCAAGTTGCATTAGCGATATTATTGCATTTGTGTGCTCAATGGACATGAATAGGATCGACTACAATGCTCAGCGTTGACAAATATCAGGTGTGTTTGATTAGGGGCGGAGCTAAACTCTGTGGGAGGCGGCCCTCTAGAACCAGAATTTCCCATACCTGTTACAAACAACAAATGTTAATCACTCACATTTTTCGGGTTGTTTTTATGCAAAATAAATGTTTTTGCAAGATTCCATACATGAAACTCTAAGAAATAAAAAGAATATAATAATAAACAAAATATAACAAAAATGACAGAAGGCTTCAGTAGTATTTTTCCATGTTGTGATAAGAAATGCTTATCTTCAAAGTAGGAGCTTCCCAGGTGCACTTGAAGGCAATTTAAGAAACCTGTGTGGACTAAGACCTGACTTTCTTCATACATGCAGTGTGTAAAATAGCTGTTAGTGAATGTAAAAAGTCTGCAGAGTTTTAAAGATGGAAGTGCACAATAAATAGTCATTTGTCATCCCGTCCTCAAACACTTTAGTTTGTGGTTTGTATTGTGATGCTGTTTTCTGCAGTGCAAAAGCAGATTTGCATTGTTTATAATTCCAAAGGATGAGTATGTGAAGAGTCAGTGGTTAAAATTAATTTTTACAATGATACCACAGCAGTAAAGACGACTGCTTCACATGGCTAACTCACATTACTGTCTTGAAATAGATCAGATAATCAGCTGTGGGCCCACTCTTACCTAATATTGTGTCAGTTAATGCAGATTGTCTGTCATTCTTACTACTTTGAATAATGATAAAAGATTTTTACCGTATGTACCCTTATTGTTTGGGTAAGGGTTTATTATTTAGCTGTGGCATTCTGATGTAGTTCCCACACATGCACGTCAGTAAATTATAGATATACACATTGGTTTGTACACTTGTTAATGCTGATGTATAGGAATCACACAGTTACAACGTCTCAAAATGTACCACAATCCAAGACAAAACTTACCGCTGAGAAACGTCCTGCTCAAGCTGTCCTTGCAAAGGAGGTTTGGATTGATCAACTAGTTCTTCCAATGTTTCATCATCCGACACGGGCTCGAATTGATATGGTAAACAACGCCATTGTTACTGTGCTTTACAGTGTTTACAATCGCTGAGGATTAAGGAAGCCTTCGGAGCTGAAAGTCAGATATAGTAATGGCCACATTGTTTCCGACACACGCTGCAAGCAGTAGACCAATCACAACAGACTGAGCCATCTGACCAATCAGAGTAGAGCAGTTTTGTGGAAGGAGGTCTTTGGAGAGACTGAATCTTTTCAGACTATTTGAGAAACAAGGTGATGTGAAATGAGTATTACGAGAAAATTAATGTGTTTTTTGACCTTGGATGCATGTAAACCTATTGTAGGAGACCTCCAAAACAAAATTAGGAACCTTTAAAAAAAGCATAATAGGGGTGCTTTAAGTCAAAAAATTTTATAAAAAATGGAATAAGAAATCATTCATTTACAAATAATATTTGATATAATGCATTGACATCCACACTTAAAATGGGACTTAGGTGACCAAACACATTGTTGGGCCACTGTATGTGTCAGACCAAATTTTAAAAGCAAATTGTACAAAGACTAAGATTCACTCATTTCCGTTTTCTCTCTTTCTCAGATGTCATTATTTCATGCCGTGTTCCTGCTGCTCACTGGCCTGGGTGTGAGTTTGTCTCAAGATGAGAAGCCGACGGTCCCATTTGGCTGCAGATTTGGACCTCCACGACCATACACTCTCTTATGTGACCTGGAGGCTATATGGGGCGTGGTGGTGGAGGTCGTAGCAGCGGCCGGTGTGTTAGCTGCCATTTTACTTTTGATAGTGTTACTGTGTCGCCTGCACTCAGTGACTGAGGCACCAAAGCGAAGTGGCATCGGTCCGATTCTCTTACTGTTAATGGGCATTATTGGGCTGTTTGGGCTTAGCTTTGCATACCTTATTGAGCATAATGAAAGCATTTGTGTGGTGCGACGCGCCCTATGGGGTTTGTTTTTCTCACTCTGCTTTGCCTGCATGTTAACACAGGGCTTGAGGCTGCGCAGGCTTGCATGTGAGTCTCGTAGCCCAGGCGGGTGTGCCCTCGTTGGACTAGTGCTAGGGTTAACAGCAGTACAAGGTATTGTTGCTGCAGAGTGGCTTCTTCTAACAGTGCTGCGGGAGGGTAACCCGGCTTGTGAGTATCAGGCACTGGACTTTGCACTCGCTTGTGCCTATGTGGCAGCACTTCTGCTGACTGCCCTAGTAACTGCAACATTAGCACTGTGTGGGAAGGCACGACAATGGCACTGTAATGTTGTGTGGCTTCTAGTCTCCTGCTTGCTGTCCATTCTCCTGTGGGTGGCTTGGGTTGGTTTCTACGTCTATGGAAACAAAGTACTTGACAAGTCTCCGGACTGGGATGATCCAGCATTGGCTGTTGCCCTGATAGCACAGGGTTGGTTGTTATTGCTGTGCCATGCTGCTCCTGAAGCCCATGCCTGTCTTCGATCACCACATCAGCCTTCAGCTCCAGACTATTTTGACACATCTCAGAATTCATCACGCATGAGAGAGGCCAGCCTTGATGAGGACATCCCACTTTCACACAGGCAGTTTGTGGAGAACCAGGGATACGCGTTTGATGAAAATGCTGCAGGTACAATTAGGCACAAAGATCAATATATAATTTGATATATATTAAACAGATCCTAACATCCATCTTCTATGTTCTAGGGTTGAGAAGTGGTAGCCATCATAATGGCAACACAGGGGCCAGACCCAGTGCACCCTTCAGAAGTAACGTCTACCAACCGACTGAGATGACCATGATACTAAATGGAGGAGCAGTGAGTACATAACTTCATATTTTTATAAATAGACCAAATAAATAAACCTTTAAAAACCTTATTGTGTCCTCAACACAGAAGTCCTTGGACACGCACAGTAAGTCTGTTATGTAGAGTGAGCAGACAGTTTCTCATAATCTATCTGTAGTTGTGTTCAAGTCTGGAAGCTCGCAATGCAATTTCTTTTGGCTTGTGTATGTTTCTGTCTACCATCACATGCAACTGATTTGGTGTTTTGGGCTTCCAAATATTCGGCCCACATGATAAACGACTATAATGTTGTGGTTATAACCAGGTCTGCCTCCATGATGCGCATTCTGCTTTGGGTGCAGAACAAGTGTCTGTCAAAGACGTCGGTGCACATCTCCGGTTGTTTGAATCTGAATTTGAATCAGGAAAACAAAGTGCAGCTTCTCTTAGTAGGACAGTTTTGGCTGTCCCACATTTGATTTTCGAACCTGGTGTCACTCCTGGATGAGCCACCTTGGGGAAAATCTGTTTTCCAAGGCTCGGGGAACCATGTGGCATGCAGTGATGACACTTTGAGTTTGGAAAATGAACAGGGCTCTGTCTCTAATTTGAGTCTTTCGGCTGAGGTTGTGGATACCATTTTAAATGCAAGAGCAGCTTCTGCTAGGAATCTCATCTTAGGATCTCATCTTTTTGCATCTTGGTGCGGAAAGCACAATTTGGATCCAGTCCCATTACCTTGTTGGTTCTTGGTTCTCAGTGCATAAATTCACAGCCTGATGAACCTATAAAAGGAAACATTTCTAACCCTGGATCCCAAGAGTCTGAATAGCTCTGCCATACTGCATTGATTCCTTTGTGGAAAAATCTGAGGAGCACGATGGCACGATGTTCTTTTGGTTCACGAGTTCTTTTCTGGAAGAAAAGGCACCCACGAAGTGATCGGCTCTGAAGCAAAAATCTGAATAAGTGGATGTACGTTGCCATCTTAGATACCCATATGTACGGGGAGTGGCTTGGCATGCAAATTCCACTCGCCCATAGTCATTGGCCGTTTCTTGTAGTGCTCTGATGTTAAGGCTCTCATTTGGGAGCCCCAATTACCTCTGTGTCGACATAATGTCAAACGTGACTGACTGAAAGGGAACCATGGTTCAATATGTAACCAAGAAGTTTGAATGTGCAAATGTAACATAAGAGCAAGATAAAATATTATTCAGAAAATATATTATTATTCAGAAATATAATAACTATTTTTCAGAAATATTATATTTTATACATTATGGGAAAGCACATTATAATCTGACAAATATTTTGTGCAATGTAGTTTTCAGTTTACTTGAAATTGATTTGAGAGAAAGGAAAAACTGAAATCGCATCATATGACCCCTTTAAATTAGAGATATTGCAGTGTCCATTATAAAATCTAAATACTTCCGAAAATCTTTTTTTTCTATTGAGTGTCAATTTAATTTTCTTTAAAATATAAAATGCTCAAGTTTTCTTATGTCCACAAAAGTACTGTGAACTTGACCATGAATGGTTTGCATTATTTTTATGATTTCAATTCAAATATATAAATTTGAGGTTAACCTGATCAAGAAAATATCATGTGGTTGGCCAGACAAGGCTGCCATTGAAATTATTAATCAAAGGGGTGAAATTGTCAACTATATTGCCGGTCAAATTAACCTATTCTTATATAACATGATTGCTATGACCCTACTATGCGACTGTCCACTAATAATGAATTGTTTGACACAGAAGGTTAAATCATGAAATTATGAATTATGAATCCTTTTAAGGCTAATCTTTTAAGTCAGATTTATGATAACAAAGCTCCTTTACTTAGTGACTATCCTGAGAATATCACACCAATATCACAATAAATAAATACATTTTGGTCATACCATTGATTTTACAAACTATTGGCCAGATTTTCCAATGCACGAATGGTGTTTCCCTTAAACATTTGGTCCTTGAGTGATGTAATATGGAGGAGAGTAAATGTCTCTTTGGTGGGGGGAGGAAATTGTTTTCTCTGCCTTGACCCAACTATAAATAGAACAGAACCTGCCAACAATGCAACACTGCAGCCAAAGCCTTGTCAAAAGCTGAGTTAACATTTATCCAAACAAGAGCAATATTTCTGCTCAAAGAGAACGAGGCAATGTGCAAATGTGAATGTGGTAATTGGTGATGTCTGGTTTGACTTTTGAACTGGTTCTACAGTGTCGACTGTATTAAAATCATTTTGGGGGGAAAAATGGATTGATAATCCTCTGAGAATAGGCTGGCTGTAGAATTATGAATGGCATGTAGTGTAAAGACTTAAAGTATGCACTACTAAGTCTAGACAAACAGATTCAAACACAGCTAAGTAGTGATTAAAAATAAACCCATCAAATACTTAAAGATTTGTTATGGAAAAACCTTGAGCTGACAGTGAAGAACTAAACACGTGGACAAGTTCTAGGCACAGATCCCTATGACCAGCTATGCACGCATCATGCCAGGACCTGCTAGGACTGCAATTCAGTTTTTTAACAAGAAGCAAGATTATATATGAAGAATATATACAAGAAGAAGATATGTGTGTGTATATATATATATATATATATATATGGCTTATAGCCATTGATAAGCCAGTTGTCCACTGCTGGACAGACTACAACTCTTCTTTCTCATCTATTGCCGGTCTCAATCTTCAAGCAGAAGGAGCTGGATTCCAATTTTTTTTAATAATATCAATCCACAAATCTGACTTGTATCATAAATCACACCATATTCATTCATTGAGGCCAGAAGAGAGCTGGTCCCGTTACTAAACCTGGTTTCTCCCAAGGTTTTTTTCTGTCACTTGATGGGAGTTTGGGTTCCCTGCCACCGTCACATTTGGCTTGCTTGGTTGGGGTTTAAAAGACACTTAATATTCAGTAATCTTTTCAATGTGACTGCTCTGACACCATCGGATGAGAACAAAATGTGAACTGAATTGAGCTATTGTCACTATTGACACCATTGCCTTCTGGGCAGTGTGTTTGTGTACCGCGATAACAGGGATAGTCATCCATGGAGAGGTGGAAGTATTTGATGTCTTTAACCAGGTCTTTATTTGGGAAGGTGTCCATTACTTTGTCCCTGTTTGCAGTAGTTTTATGAAGCCTGAGCTTTGAGACAGCTAGCATCTATTGTGCCATTTTAAGTACATTGATCAGCTCTTCCTCTGTAGATAATCCCTTATAGTAATTTCCTACAGAGGAAGAGCTGATCAATGAGTTTCCACACCCTCTTTAGTCAAATCATTGTTGTGATGTTTTACACTTTCTGTGGCATTGTGACAGTCTTCACAGACCAAGAAGCAGTGAAACATCTGCTGTATGTCAGCTGTAACAGTGACAGGATCCTTTTGAAATCTTTGAGGACACCTAACAGGATATTGTTAAGGTCAGGGCCAGGCAGCAGTCCATTATTAGCCTCTTTTCCACTATCGGGCCGAACGGTTCTCTTTGCTTAACCGTTCCATTCCGTGCCGATCCGGGCCAGTCAGCACGGATACGGTTTCATTTTCCACTGTGGTGCCGATAACGGAGCTCTTTGGAATGTAATACAAATGTGTCAGTCGTTGCCTTGGTAACGCAAGTATAATGTAAACAGCAATATGGACGATGATCAGATATTTCGGTTTGTGGGACTCCTTTTTTATCTGATATTTACTTCGTTAAATAAAGGACACAACTCTTGACGCGAAAAATAAAATAAACAGAAGGCTACGACGGGAATACCAACAAATGCTGAGGGGACTTTCCTGATCAAAAGTGTAAGTGAATGTAAACGCAAGCAACTCGTAAACATCGGTTTGAAACAGGTAAATAGTTGTTTACATAAATGCGTAAGCATGAATAGCTACTTGTTACTTACCCTCCACGATCAAGCACACCGTCATTTCGCATGGTTGGGCGGCATTCTAAAACTGTCCAAAGCATCGTAGTATCTGTCAGTTTTTTTTGGCAGCCCCGCTTCTACTATTATTGTCCTTTTGGACGCGATATGTATGTTTAAGCGTTTTAATTTCTTCCCCTTCCCCTTCTACTTGCCCTTCTCTGCTAGAAGACTGCGCTATGATTTTAAAACCTTTTTAATTTCTCTTTGTACCCTCCAGCTGAGAACGGTTTGTAATCGTGCCGCGCCGTACCAGGCTCACATGGAAATACAACTGGAACCGTACCTGACAGTTCTTAGAACCGTTTGGCCCGATAATGGAAAAGTGGCTATTGAGAGAGATACTCCATCAAACTGTGCACTCAGTTATAACTGTGATTTGTTCTGTATTTCTGGGATGGTACACACCAAATGATGGGAGATACCAGCATTCTTGGCTATCCTGTAGAGGAGGATGTAGCTCTTCATGGTTATTTCCAAGTATCTCTGTATGAACTCTAAGGAGTTCTCTAGTCGTTTCTCAAACTTGTAACTGAGAGACATGGTATGGCAATGGTACCACCCAGTTGTTACCCAAATCTTTGAAGAATTCCTTTTCCATGATGTTCAAGAAGAACTGCTGCTCGACTGAAGGAGCACGTTTATTCATCTTTGTTCTGCTGAAAGACTGACTGACCAGGTCTGTAGCTTGATAGGTCTACTTGACATTGTAACATGTGACATGAGTTTTGGTATTGGTATTTTTCTTAAAACCGTTCACGAGATCTAGCTTGTGACTTTACTAGGCACACATCTCCTACAATGACTCAGCCAGTGTCTGAACAGAGAATTATGAACACCATTGAGTTGTTTGTGGACTTCAGAGACAATGACCCCCCAATCGCAAGAACTGCTTACACTTAATGTGTGCTGTTTGTGACATAACAATGTACATAAACGTACCTATTAAGGTGTACATGAATCCATGGGTGGAAGTTTAACATTTCAGAATCATGTTTGGACTAATGTGTTCAACACAATGCTTAAGTTAATTTGAAAGTGGTTTGGAACATGAATAATGCATAGGTTAAACCTTAAAGACTTAAGACTTTGCAATGAAGTTCTACATCAGATTGGTACTGTGGCTAGTTTACTAGATCCCAACAGCCTATCTTGTCGCTGGAACAGAAAAGCACCAATTTGCAAATTTCTCCTGCTCACAAAGGATTGAAAGGTTCTCTCTTATAGACAAAAGGAGGGTTCTGAAAAGAGAAGCTAAATGCAACAAAGAACAAAAAGGAAAGAAAGAAGAATTCTAAATACTGAAACAAGGGAAGTTGGGGGAGTTTGGAAATGGCCTCGTCAGGTGCTGACAGATTGTATGTTCTGTTTAATGCACTTAAACGTTTTTAACTGCGTTTTTCCCACTTATGAAACACCACATGTCTTGTGTAAATGTCTGTAAACCTGCCTGCTTCTAATTGGCTAATTTTGTTTCTTATTGTCACAGGTTCCATCCGCACCTCCCACATACACAGGAAGACAGCTTTGGTAAAGGAGGAGAAGGGTGAATGGAAAAGTGGTGTACAATCTCTGAAGTGAATGCGGACTTACAGTTAGGAACAACATTAAAAGCCGCCAGTCTCACGGTGGTGTGTGTGTGAGCAGTTTGACAAGCATGATAGAAGGATGTTAACACTGGACAACTCTTTGCACCATCAATAGCTGTAGTGATTTTGAGTTAGTGTACTGGTAAAAAATATTGATGCGGTTTCACAGATTTCTCCATTAAAACAGCTTTTCACTCGCACAGTATTTTAATTTGATCATTGTTCTTGCTCTGGCTTCAGATTCACCCTGAAGTCATATCGTATGTTACATGAAGAAGTTACTGTATTGCAGTTGTGATTGTGCAGTAAAACTTGGACGTTTTATCATTCTGTGAAAACTGGATACAGTACTTCGGTTTCTCTGGTCAGACAACTCACGAAATAAAAAAAAACTCTGTGTAGGAATGACTGGCGTGCAACTGTAGCACCAATCCCCATGCAACATGCTGTGACAAATCGTTAGCGTTCTTCTATGGAGTCTTTAGCTCAAATCTCACTCAATTCTACCTTGTTGCAAATGGGCTGTATTTTTATACATCAAATTATTCTTGCATTTCGCCACTGGAGCTGCGAAATATTTAATCAGTTTTACAGTTCTACAATCAACCTTCAGATACCTACTACTGCTGGACAGATCCCAGTGGAAATAACTATGACGACAAAGCAAAGGAGGGAGGCGAGGACAAGGGGTGGAGTGTTAATGTAATTCAGATTAGGTTTGCTAGTCTGAATTATGGCTTAAAAACTGCAACTCTAAATGGCCATATACACACTGCGAAGTTTTGGAAGTGATAACTGCTAATGTGGGAATAAATAAGTTACCCACATAAGTTACGGTAAAGTAATCCAACGGTAAAGTAATCCAAAATTTGGTTTGAATAATTGGAGTTGTATGGATTACTTTGAAATGTTTAAATTCACAGATTTTTATTTTTTGTACAAAATGAGATTAATATATATTTTGTGTGTATCACAGAAGTTATGAGGGGTGAGTAAATTACGGCAGAATTTTCATTTTTGGGTGAACTGTCCCTTTAAGCACCGAAAAGAGTGACGATTGCAGTATTTACATGGCCACAGTACAAGAGATCAGAGAACTGTGGTAAGAGGGTCTGGTCAGGTCATTTTTCAAATGGGTCTCTTTGTTTTTTTGTCCAATGAGAGTGACAGTGCTTAACCAGCTGTGTTCTGAAAGTGTTTTTGTCATTGATGTTTGCTCCTTATACTGTGCTGTAACCTTCCGAAAGGGTCGTCGAGTTGAAGAGAATAACTACGGTTTCCTTTATAGTCATGCATGCAGAGTCCTAAACCACATCACATAAACGGATATATATTACGGCTCAGTATTAGGCTGTTTTCACAAAACCAAGTGTGAACATTTGGTTGATTGCTTGGTCCAATTCAGAGTTCGATTCCACCCTCCTCCCCTTCTTATACAAGGTACAAAAAGGCGAATAATATGCTGCCTATACTCTTGAGAATGCAAAGATGTAAATTACACGTCATCTATAGCAGTTTACTTCCACAAGTTATGATGGATTGCTGGAATCGATCTGAACCGTACCCCAGAAACCCATGTTTGGTTCACTGTTGCACACCTGAGATTTTACTGATCACTGTAGACCAGTATAGATTTGGTGTTGGTTTCATTGTAGAGCGTAGTTCATCTTAACATGGTATCAAGCCTAAACCCTCATTAACCAACCACAGGGTGACTAGGGCTGGGCGAGATAGCTAATATTTATATAAACTTTTTTCTGCCTTTGGACAATATGCTAAAATACATCCTAAAATCTATCTATTTCTTTTTCTTTAAGCAGAAGTCTGTGTATTTAACCCAAAGAACAAAGGCCTAAAATATTAAAAATGCTTGAAGTCCAATACAGGAAAACAGACAGTTCTTGCCCTTTAATAGGTGAGTTTCAAAGCAATAAGAGGTTAGGAGAACTGTGGATATTGATTGTTAAAGGGGTCATGACATACGTCAGCATATCTCTCTCTGTCCATTTGAATGGATTGCTCATTTTGATGCTGCTTCTCCTTATAGACTTCAGTATGGACGGCCATATCCTTGGCTAACATCTTTGCATGCACCTCACCATGATGCATATAGAATTGCATTTGCAGAATTTAATAATGGCAACCATTCGAATATAGCCATATTTCAGCAGTGTCCAATCCTGCTCCTGGAGAGTCGCTGTCATTTTATTGGCAAAAACATCTCAACACTTACTGGCGTGTCTAGTTCACACTCAAAATTGCCATTGGGTGGTCCATGACGGTGAGGTGATCCTGTGCTAACACAATGAAAACAAGTCATTTTTGCAACTTTTTATCATTAATACTTGTGTTTTGTATTATATTTTGAGTTTTGAAACTTACAAGTTTATAGTAGTGGACTACTATAGTAGTACA